AGCAGCAGCCTGCTGGCAGAGAGTAAGCACTTGGTGGAAACCGTTCCCACAATCAGGGGGACAAGGAGTGAATCAGCTACAAGAACCAAATCAGCCCAGGTAGTGTGCAGATCTCCTTGCTTCTGCCCTCTGGCCCTCAGAAATGGGTGACGTGCCCTGGACCAACCGGGCAAGTGGATGTCATGTGCATGCCTGGAGGCCAGTAGCCATTACAAGGAAAATGGGAGACAGGTAACCTATGGAAAAGAGTGTTGCCTTTCCTGGGCATCCTGTCATATAGAGCTGCTTTATCACCCCCAGAAAAAATCTCATACATCCTATTCAGCCAACTGAGAAAACCTGTAGCTCACGATGCTTGTGTTAAGACAACTAAAGTCATAGTGTATTTAAACGTGAAAATTAGCCTAGGTGAAATAATGCAATTTCAATGTGGATTGATTAAGTATATATGGTTTTGTGTGCCAAGTGGACCACTTGTATAACAACCTATCAGAAATCATTGTTAGTTTCAAATGCTCAGACTATAATGAATTTCTATAGTAGACTGCCTCTGTAAAATCTAGCTAATAAATCAAGATTTTTAATCACTAAAATGTTTGCTCAAGGTTCAAAAGCAGAAAAATATAGGTAGTTCAGTTCAGAGAATTCAAACTTTAAAATTTACCATAAAATATAGTATATGACTAATATGATCTTCTAAGTAACAGTTGTGCTTGTGCTGATATGCAATTAAAAAGCAAACTGAAGACATGACTTAAAAAATGTCTGATCAAAAGCAATAAAGTCATAATGGCTACTTAAGTTTTCCCACCACAACAATGGATACAAAACCTATAGAACACAGATAAAATACTGGCATGTATTTTTTGAAACTAGAACTATTTAAATAGCTGCCAATGAAGAATATTTCTTTACTGGGAAAGGATCTGCATTTTATTTTAATGCAAAAATACCACTTTAGATACTACTGAATTTTTCTGTAAGAAATACCAATAGTAGCATCTTTTTTTTACATTAGAAACTACAATTCCAAATTAGCAGGTTTTCCCTGGGTACTCCATTCCCAGAATGTAGGAATTACAGATTCAATTTGGTCAGATATTATCTGTAGCATTACTGCCTTCCCTTTGACTGATGTTGTTCTCTAAAGCAGGAGTTCTCAATTGGAAGACTCCCTCCGAAATCACCTGCAGGCTATTTGGAAGTACCGAGTGCCCCAGCTCTCTGCCCTTAAGACTGTCTTGGCACATATGGTGTTGGGGAAATGTTCCGAGTGGTTCTAGCTGTTTGCTGACAAGCAGTGTTTCCGGGGAGAGTGAGAGGAGTTCTCATCTGGTCCAGCATTGCTGTAAACTTCACCACTGCCGGGCATAGTGCAACAATGGCAAAGACAAAATTACTCCACATTCCCTTAACTGACTGTCGAGAAAACGGTCTATTCACAGAACATGCATCCATGCTTGAAAATACTTTCTATCTGTTTATTTCAAAATGTACATTTAGGGCAAATGGTTTCAAAATCGTATAAAAAATAATGTATGTATTGTTCCAACTTTAATATTTACATGGTCCCTTAGAGAGTTTTCACCTTATCACCAAAGATGCAATTTTTTTTCCAGCAACCTCCGAATTATGAGGGGACTTCAAAGGGCTCATGGAAAATTTTCATTATCCTTTAGTTCAACTTTTCCATAAACCTTCTGAAGCACCTTCAGATTCTTAAAAGTCAGGAATCTGAAGTTTTGCGGACAGAAGAAAATCAGTATTTGCCTTGAGAATGATGAAACTAGGAATGGTAACAGGAACACCATAAAATATAATAGTCATATTTAGGCTCTGCCACAGATAAAAAAATCACTGAACTATAATAATTCAAGTACTGGCATTTTTGCTTAAGAAAAAAGAAAAAATATATATTCTGTAAAAGAAAATTCATTGTAAAAATTTATAAAGTTGAACTCTTCAAGCAAAAATAACTGAGGTTTGCTGTCACGATATCAAGTCATCATATGCACTTTATAAACAGACATCCATTATAGTCTATTAGCTTTAATCCAGTTATCACT